CCATGAATACTGAAGACATATAATAATGTCTCGCTGTTGGTTTTGTTACTCAACCTCCCCGTTAGATCTCCATCGGCAAAGATGGTTTGTGAACGTCAGTTGAAGCGTTGAAGTGTCTCCCGTATCATTAACAATTTTATTGTTTTCTCCGTTTCATGATATCGTTGGAGAGCATATACTCGTCCTAGTTCGAGTGATATACGAGTATCTCTTCCATACCTCGTCAAATAAATACGATCATTTTGTGAAGAAAAATTCCATAAAGCCAAGCATTAGAATTCTGTAATGCAATTTAAACACAAATGCCGACACCTTGTTATTTTCCTTTCAAAACAAAATCATCTATCAAAATTTGATGTGATGCATAATCAATTAATAGAGGGAGAAAGAAAGATAGATAGAGAGAGAGAGAGAGAGAGAGAGAGAGAGAGAGAGAGAGAGAAGAAAAAGAGAGAGAAGGAGAGGGGCATACTTTTTTTAAGTTGATGGATGTGAGATTTCGTCAGTAAATATGACAGTTTGCCAACATGTAACACTACACCTTTTGTTTTAATGATAAATTTTGGATGAGCAGCCCTAAAAACTGAAAAAGAAAAAGCTGGCTACGTGAAGAGATCTATCAATTAGCGCCGTAATATGCCACCATTGAACGATAATTTTCTCTGGGGATTTGTTTTAAATATATGACTGCGTGTCATGACAATCAGACATGACGAATCAGAAATCATCCTAGTTTGACACGAATTTCTATATTTGCCGAGACGTGGACTGAAGTCACGTCTTCGTTCTAAGACGCAGCACAGTGTAAGCTGAAAATCATCTTGTAATGAACCAACACCGTTTTCCTTTCTTAAGAACAAATCACCATGTACACAAAAAAGAGAACCAAAACCGAAATGATATTTTATGCCCAATTGATTCCTCATTTGCATTTCCAACCATTTACTTCAAAATGACACGGCCCTTTCCTCCCTTTCTTCCCCTCTCTCCCCTCGCTGAATGCACGATCCGTTTTGGGTCGGTTTTGTTAGGACCTCAAACAAAGCCAATATTAGTTTTGGAAAAGAATGGTTCGCAATTGGGGTGTTACCCAGTCCCGACTGTTTGCTTAAGTTAGTTCTAACAATTCCACTTAAAAGAAACGACAGTGTGTCGAGCATGTATATACACACAAGCGCCTCCTTGAGTAGATAATTCGCCAAAAGAGAGAAAGAGACGGAGAGAGAGAGGGAGAGAGAGAGAGAGAGAGAAGAGAGAAGCAAAAATGTAGACGATAATTTGTGTGTGTTTCTTTCTTTCAGGTTACGCGCCAAAACAAACTGGCAGTGTTTAAAAGGTGTAGCACGCCTGGTCAAATGACGATCAAAAGAGCATGTTCGTATGTGTGTTTTTAAGCCCCAACTTGTTGAAATATCAGGGACTAAAATATGCCAATTTTTGGGGTATGTCACTATTGGGGTATGGTTTCACCAGTTGAGGCTCGTAATGAAGTGAGTAAATCGCTCAAATCTCACGCAACAATCGCCTCTCGTGCAAACAAAGGATTGGGATCGTCGTTTAACATAGCAACAAAACAATACAATTAGGATTAGGACTTTTAACGATACCTATCATGAGATCCTATAGTGCAAACGTTGTGGTAAGGTGATATGTCGTCTGCACATATTTGATGTCAAATCTCACCAAAAAAAAAACCCTGCTTCGATATTTTTTCCTCGTTCCACCTTACTTTTAGTATTTTGTCCTACAACCCTGTTTCAAGGACAGAATCTCGAAAGGTAAATCAAATATCAAATAAAGCCAGACTGATATTAGTAATTGCTATATTAGGAGTGTGTCTATAATAAGGAGGAAAGGTGTAGCATACATGAATGTTTGCTGCACATCAACACATTTTATTCAATCATGGCTATATTCATAAAATGGTTTTGTAGTAGAGTAGAAGAGGAACAAAGCAGAGTAGTAGTTCTTGATTAAATAAAGGGCCCAAAACATTCATGTCCAAGGACAAAATTGGCATTTAATGAGTTTCATATTTGTTCCATGAGTTCATGACAGATACTGGGCGTTTATATGTACACAAAGTAGACAAAACAAAAGACTAGAACCATACAAACATATACAGCCCAGCCATTATCGAAGACATATTGGCATTTTATCAATTATTCCATGAGTATGATATTCAACATGTCAACTCATAATGATATATCAATGATATTCCTAGTTAATACTTATACATTTGTTTACGCTGCCCTACTGCGCTGAAGATTCTTTTAGATACATACCATTCGTGTATACCGTTCTGTTACAGCTTGTATAAGCCCTCATGGCAACACATGAAAGGCTCATTCGTAACTGACATCATTATATAAATCCCATTGATTTTTCCAAACAGTATGGATAGACCTACCTGTAGCAATAACCTCATGTTTTGGAGAATTACTTGAGATGTTAATTTTACCTTTGGTTTTCCCCATAAAGTTTTCTGGTGGCGAATTTTGATATTATTAGTCCCGCACAGTGTGTATCACTCTGAGAGGACTCCTCGAAGAAACAGAAAGGAAATCAGGGGTTGATAATACATTAGTTCACTCATTTTGTTCTATATAAAAGCATGTACTTTCAGACGGGTTCATTCAAACCATGAGGTTAAAACTCGAACGTTCTGCGATCAATGTCTAAAGATTTTCGTGTTCACTCATACCACGCGTACGGGCTGAGGCATCGCCGTCTCGCTATGCGTCCCATAATAGTGCAACCGTGAACAATGTCATTTGTTTTCACCTTTCAATGCCTTTCAAAGGGTAATCGCTTACTCTATTACAAATGAAATAACAATGATGAAAACTCAGTATGATGTTAACAGAGAATTTCGTAGAAACGGTGTAGATATTACGCCAAAACTGTTATTTATTACATAGTTGTCCGTTGTGTAGTTCTAAACCTGTAACTCTCCGAGTTCTGTATATTTAATCCTGATCAATATGTAAGTGATAAATGAGGATCGATACTAATTGTTTTCCTTGATATCTGAAAGAGACCCTAGCCGAAAAGTGTAATTGCTATATTGTTGTTCAAAATTAATGTTGTTGCAACGTTGGAATAGCGTTGAGACCAGAGCACTACATTAACTGTGCTAGCCCATGCAACAAAGCAACTTTCGCCATTCTGTGTCCGTCTGCAACCGAGTTGACCAAACTCTGTAAAGGATGGCTCTGGTTTAAACGCTTTGACAGCATCAGTTTAGAAAAACAAGATAATACAAAATGCCTCCTGCTATATCATAGTAAGAAGAGGCTCAGTGTTTTTTCATTTTTTGACATGCATAAATCCCTCTCATGTAAAGAAACTGATCGGCCAAAAGGCCGCTCACAACACATTTACATAAATATGGACAAACAATTAAATCTAGAAAGATTAGGAATAAATTGAAAAGACTTATAGCGACAACCTCACATTGGCATGAATTGTAGTTTTGAAGTTTTGAAGTTTTTGAAGTTTTATTTATTCCACATTTTACATAGAAAAACAGTTTATATTCTTCTCTTTTTTTTGTATACAGGCGTAAATTATTATAAGAATAGATTTCACACAAGAATTTTTTTTTTTTTTTTTTTTTTTTTTTTTTAGAGAGATTTCAAATCAAATATAATGTACGGAAAATAAGTACGAAATTTCGAAGTATGTATATATAACAGGCTAGGTAGAACAATTTTAAATGTGGGGAGCCTAAATAAAAAGCATAGCATGTATGATTCTCATAACATAACGTGAAGTTTGAACAATTATTGAATATAGAAAGTTAAGGAGCAAACTGGTAAAGGCATCACTATATATTTGCATATACTCCTAGCGACAACGTGGCAGTGCAGCCATGCAGGAATTGTACCATGCACGGCGTTTCCCATGACTTCTCGATAGTTTAGACAGGCATCTACTCTCCATTTGTCATCGGGTCTATAGCAATCGTTTAGCCGGGTATTAACAACCTAGCCATCCTTCCCCGACCTTACATTGAACGATCGATTGTTTACCCTAGCTGGGAAAATAAACATTAGCTTCCAACTGCAACATGGCCACAAAATGAAAGAAATGTCGACAAATGAAAAGAATAAATCCATCCCGACACACATTTTCGAGCTATACTCCTCATCTTTGTGCGATCATTGATTCCTCCATCCCTAACAAATGCCGTTGATGGCTTTATCCAAATTTGTTCAGATTGGTAGCAAATCTGTTGTCAGAGCGTAATGCACTTCGGTTCATTGATTATGCTCTTTGAGATTTCCTTTAGCAAACCATGTATTCTCGGTGCGAATCGATACAACAAATAGTTCATAAGTAACATGTGTGCCTGTACATAGAGACCAAATAGTAACGAGCAAATATGACACTTTTGGGACATCATCGATCTTAATACGACGTGTTTCACAACTTGTCTTCTCCTGTGCCTTCTGTCTTTGGTAAATAGATTATCGATCAAATTTGAAGTGAAGCAGCTAATTACACAAAACCCAGGTCCCACGAGGGGATCTAAAAGCGATTTTAAAAGATGTCTTAATTGAGTAATTGTAATTTTCTCTTTGGTCTCCATTAACGGCGACATAGTTCTGTGTTTGTTTGGGAGGGTTCGTATTAGAGTGGGTGCTTTATCATAACTAACGTGCGCCTAAAAAAATTACCAACGGCCTTACAACTATTTACAATATTATGAAGAATTTTCCGACTCGTTTCGTCTCTTTGATATTTCATCTATGGTTTGCTATTTATGGTCATGATGTTTTGTAATTCCATTCATGTGTCGTGAATGATCTAAACACTGCCAAAGCATGCTAGCCAAAAGGACAGGCTATTTGTCTAATTAATTTTCATACTGCACCGGAATTAAAAGTTTGAATTCTCTTGTTCCTTGTGTTTTTCCTCTATGCGGTCATCATGTTTATACATTACACGTTGTTGTAACCCTTGCTATATTTTTTCTCATTGTAATTTATCTACAGAACGCGAGACGACAGAAGCGCTCAAGGAAATAAAGGATGACATCGAACGTGAGTCTCCTACAACAAGTGTCCCGGAGCCGCCAAAGAAGGTCGTCGAGAAACACGAACTACCGGAACCCTCTGAGAAACCCAACGAAGATGGCGAAGAACCCAAGAAGAAGGCAAAACTCTCTGGACCTTTGGACACCTTCAATGGCATGGCATCCAGCTTCGTGTCGCCATTCCGTCCAGGAAGGCTGTCACAAACAGAGATCCTGACACGGTTGTTCCCTCACCAACGCAAAGCCGTCTTGGAGCTAGTCCTGCAGGGGTGCAGCGGTGACCTGGTCAAAGCCATTGAGCACTTCCTCAGCGCCGGTGAGTCCGTAAAGAACAACGGCAGCGCCTCCTCGCGGTCGGACCACGCGCACTCTTCAGAGAAAGATCAGAACGAGATGTATCATATCCCGTCTGGACTACCCACGATTCCAGGACTGGGTTCTTCGATTTTCCGTACCCCAATGCACACTGACAAGCTAGGCGTCGGTGGTATGAAGTCGGCCTTTACCCCTCTCCCACCTGCCAGCTCAGCGCCTCTCCCTCTTCTTTTCTCGCACAGACCGCCAAATCCTTTCCAAGCAGACGCCCTCCTCGGTCGGACCTCAATCTTCGCACCTTCCAGTCTGAGTGACCTTCATGTTGGTGCAGCAGGACCTGGCAGGTTCGTGTTCCCAGCTATGCATCCGCTCAATCTCTCTGGAAAGTTGGCTGCAGCGGCCAGCGAGGGATATCCTCGATATGTCTTTGCGCCCTACCCGACATGTCCACCAGACTGCACGCAGTATCCGAGCCTCCACAGCACCAGAGCTCCGGCCGGAAGCACCGGAAGTGATTCGGAAAAGAGTCCAGGAGCCATCGCTGATCTTTCGGTTACGAGCAACGTTGATTCAGATTGAGAACAGAGTGAACTTTCAAGACTTTATGAAAAGATGAAAGCCAAGACTTTTTGTTTCTCATGTCTACAGCGCCCAAACAAATACATTCCAGAGTTGTTTTTTGTCGGCATACACCAATCGAAACATGTTCTGACCTCATGGATTGTGACGTCATGGGATATGATGATTTGCTGTGTCGTCTTTGTAAATGTGTCTTTGAAACGTGCCAAAAAATAAATATGTCAGAAATCGCAAGCTCTTAATCGTAAATGTTTGTGAATGCCCTCATTAAGTATAATTACATCACATTTTAGGGCAAAATGTTGCGACCTGGTACCCGCCTAATACTGTTTACACTATTACACTACATTCATGGATGTCATTCTATTTCAATAATTTTATGATGTCATCAAATTTATTTTTCTCATCAAAGGGTATATGACATCGAAAGTGGACTAGATTGAATTGACTGATAATCAGTGCTATTGTTTATTGTTTCCATTACCATGATTACTATCGAAAATGATAGTTAACAAAAAATACTTTTCGAATCGCATACAACGAATAATTTTCGTTATAGATGAAATGTTTCTTTTTTGCCAAAGTATGTGTAGAGAAAAGTTAGAGAAAACAACAATAACCAACGATTTGATTCATAATCATTTAAAGTAAAAACCAAGTATCTTTTTTTCTTCTCATTAATCCCCCACCGCATAATGCCTACAATAACATAATTATCACAATTGACTGTAAGACAAAACTTAAAAAGTTTTGCTGTTGAAAGAACATCAATTTAAATTGTTGAATAATATGATTAATTGGTGAATTTAAACTAGTAAAATATTGTTCTTTTTCTTTCAAATGCACATGTAAGAAAATATTATTTTTTAGAGTAGCACTTGAGGCTTTCATCACCTTTATGTGATTTTATATTAATTTATGTATAATATTTTCTACAGTTTCTATTATCTTCCTGAGGGTAGTAGTGCATACGAAATCTTTATGCGATACTAATTCTAAGAGGCTGAAATACATAATGATGAATTGTATGTTTTGTCATTTTTCTGCCAGGCTGATCATAGTACGTTCCTTTATCATATTTATCTGAAAATAGGCTGATTTATGTATAAAATTGTGTTCAGTGTTTTGTTGCCAATATTTATTTTGAAGAGCCCTCTACCCTTTGAGTGCCACATGTGATTATTTATACACGCAATGAGTAACACTGTATTGAGTTTGCACCAAACAGGTGAATTGTCTCAAATCTCTAAGTGAAATGAAATGTATTCAAACCAAAAATTAATAAAGAAGAAAAAACAAATGTTTTGGTTTCCTGTCATAAGAGGTCTTTAAGTGAAATTGATATTCAAATCTAAATTCCTCTTTGATATGCTTTCAACTGATCATGTTTAAAAGTTGATTTATAATACATAATACCTTTGAAGTTAGCTTTGGCGATTCCCTTTGAAAACAATTGCATAATTTTAAATATATATATATTAGTACTGTGGAAACGGACGACTATGTGTACATAGAGCCGAAAATAACTATTAATTTCTTTTTGCTGAATGGCTGTGCATTTGGGAATCTACGCAATGATTGTATTTATTTATAGTAAAAATGCCAGAATATTCGTTCTTACATGTTTCTTGTAACTTCAAAATGAGTAAAAAAAATGTATAATAGATTACAATTTGTTTCATTCGCTTTCGTTTGAGCAGTATCAAACATAAAATCGAACTATGTAAGACCACCTGTTGAATGTTTGAATATGTTGTTTATATATAGATAATAAATTGGTTGGATTTGTAATATAACAATGAGTTATTTATGTGGAGTATGTGGAAAATGCGAATTTATAATGTTTGCAGTATTTTTGACTCGATGCTCACGATTAAAATTCTAGTCTCCGATTGAGACGTTGTAACATAATCAATGCATTTCGTCACGATTCATTTTTCTTCTCTAAAAAAAGTCTTTGTCTACATACTTGTGAAGAGTCACAGAGAATGGGCGGTGTTAAGAGAAGTCCGTTGAACGCGAGGCGTCACAGTCGCTGACGTAACACTGCGTCAGCGACTGGCACTGTCTTTGACGCAACCATGTGAAAGTGATAGCGTACAGAGGGTGATTGCAAAAAGAATAGTGTAAACACTGCGCTGAATTATTGGCGCATCCACTAACTACCTTCACGGGCCTAATTAGCGCAGGTAATAGCGCAATCGATTGACGTCTTGCTTTTAACTGGGCTCATATTCATACAACTTACTCATACTTAATCATAGTCTTCAACTATTTATGTACTATAGTTTATATAATTAGTTGACAACTATATAATAGCTTAGTAAGATTTTATGAATATGAACCTTCGTATTAAACCAGAAACTTAGTAGTGGTCTCATCTATCATTTTGTTCCCATTGGTTTTGTGCTTACTGACTGACATGATAAGTCCATGATTTACAAACTGCACTCCTTAATTTGAAACCAATATAGACATGTCAGATACGAGCAGCCTTTAAAAATTTGCATTTTTTAACGTGAAAACAATTTAATTGCAAGTGTAGGAAACTGAAATCGGGAGTCAGAGCACTGGGAGCATGGGATTAGCCAGCAATGTAGGCCTCCCAAAAGATATACTCGTCAAAATCAGACACTTAATGGCGGCTTCAGATTTCTTGTCCCACCGGTCGGCGCTATTTCATTTCCCATGCTCTTAGTGTGTATCATATGAAAGAAAACTTATCAAAAACTGCAGATACGTGGCACGTGCAGCCTCGAACGATCATTTTTTTTCCGAAGGAAAGGAAATCTTCTTGTCTTGTCGAAAAATGAAGCTGGGAATTGGAGCACGGGACTAGATATAACTGTACCAAAATACTTTTACCTTTTCTTTGCTTTCATTGAGGTTCGATGGATGCTCGCGATGGAAAGATGATAGAGCTCGGCCGTTTAAGTTTACTGAGGTAAAAACAAGGAAAGACGGGTGGAGTAATTGATGCGCTCCGGGCGGAATTAATTACCTGACTTCTTACTCGAGATGGGAGAAGAGATGCTTGCACAAATTACGCCACTACAGATGTCGATGAGACGCGATCAAAATATGAAGAGGGGTTTATAAAAAAAAGCAGGACAGTTCATTTTTTTTCTTCTTCAAATGGGAGACAAAATGGGAGCAAAAGGAAACGGGACGAAATGATAAAGACTATCAAAACAGGGAGTTGGGAGAAAAATATTGCAAGTATGGTGGGGGCATCCGGTATCTGGCCAGGAGCTACAGAGATTGATGGCGTATTCACGGGAGAGGTTCGGCGGGGGACCCTTGTGCTGAAGTGTACATTGTTTCATCTCCAAAGTGTTTTTGTAACTGCTCGGCAAATTAGGGAGTTAAGGAGAGAAACAGTGGGCGTTTTTTCCTTTTAATTCGAGCTTGGAAGGGTGTTTGTAGGGTTGGGTAATGGAGAAAGACAGAATGCAGTGGAGATGAGATAGAGATCGACATACACGGAGAGAGAGAGAGAGAGAGAGAGAGAGAGAGAGAGAGAAAGAGAGAGGGAGAAAGACAGACAGAGATATTATGAGAAGGGGGAAAAGACAGTTATATGAGGGTGGAGTGATATTGAGAGAGAGAGAGAGAGAGAAAGTGAGACGAGGTTACAGTGATATCGAGAGAGAGAGAGAGAGAGAGAGAAAGTGAGACGAGGTTAGAGTTATATCGAGGGAGAGAGAGGGAGAGAGAGAGAGAACGAGAGAGGGAGATTTAATGAGGAGAAATACGCATCGAGATATAGAGAGAAGAGACAGAGAGGCAGAAAAAAGGAGAAAGTGAGAGAGATAGAGAGAGAGAGAGAGAGAGAGAGAGAGAGAGAGAGAGCAGTAGAGCTCTTGTGATAATGACACTCCAGGCATTTAGAGATAAGTGATGCGAATAAAGACGCTTAAAATGATTTAGTATATATCAACCGACGATAGTGATGGTGATAATGATGCTGATGAAAATAGTGATTAGGTTGAAGATGATGATGAAGGTAATGATGATGATGATGATGGGATGACAGTAGTGGTGATGCTGGTTTTGGCGGTGATGATGATGGATGATTATGATGTGAAGATGATGATGATCATGATGGTGGTAGTTGCATAGAAGAAGTAGCTGCTGATGAGGACGGTTATGGTTAATTATAATAACAATGTCTTGTTCACCCAGGGTAGCCTATTCAATATTAATACTGTTCTCCTTAAGGGTCTAGCAATCATATTATTACCCCCGGCTTTAGCCGAACTACCATAAGGCGTTCAAGCATTTAAGAAATGTCTTTCTACCTGATACCCATTTACTACACCTGGGTGGAGAGTGACAAATATAGATAAATAAAAACATCTTCCCAAAGGACATTAGTGGCGCGGCGGGACTCGAACCATGTGATTCCCACTCCAACGACTTATCCACTAGACCACAACACCTCTACATGACGATTATAACAACGACGATGACAATGAAGAAGCTGTTGATGATGGAGATGATCACAATGAAGAGGATGATGCCAACAACGATGGTGACGACGATGAGGATGATGATCTGCCGATTGATAATGATGATTAGTCATAAGAGTGGCAGATGCCCTGCATGGAGATGACGGAATATGCTGTGTGGTGGTGAAAAGAATGATTGCTATTAATTATGGTCTCCATGGTGATCATGACACATAAACACAAAAACTATTTAAAGAAAATAATGTTTACGGAGAGTGTAACTACTCCAGGCCCCTTGACATCTTAATCAGAGAAAGAAAAAAATCCGGTTAAAATACAGTTATTTTCTGAACCTCTTTGAGGTATAACAAGAAATACTTATTTCTTGCCTTGATTCTGTGTAGTGTTAAATTTTTCAGAATCAATTACAATTGAAAAATAAGACTTAATTTAGGATATCCGGAAAGTAGAATACGTTCATAATTTCTGTTATCAACGGGGGTCGAATGTACACATCTCCAACATTAAAGCAACACTCGGCTATGTTGGAAATATTATTGATCATATTCAATGTATTAGTTCGGTAACCTCTCTGCAGCTCACTATATAGTTTATCAAACTTTACCATTCTCTAAAAAATACGTTTACTACAGAATGGAGTCAACAGCATCAGGGTCATGCAGAAAAATAATCAACTAATATATTCAGAATCAAAACAAGGAGAGAAAATAATACAAAGCGAGGGAGCAAAAGACGTGCTTCTGAAAAACCAAGTAGCGTAAAGAAGATAAGATATCGGAATTTCAAATGAATTGTTAAAAAACATATTTCCAAGGGACTGCATGCGAGAAATGGACAATCTTGCCGAAGCCAGAAAGCAAATACGAAGTAACACCTATAAATATTCGCCTTAACGGGCTGCAACGACGTCAATAGACGGCTAACGAATTCCCGCTCACGCTTTGCTCCACCAAAGTTTACCCAAAGCGAAAACCCTCTCGTTGCTTTTTATCTTTTTCCATATATCGAAATACGGGGAATTATGGCATTTTAAGTTAGAATGCTACAGAGTGTTTTACAAGTCCCTCCTCTCCCTCTCACACTCTCTCTCTCCCTCCGTCTCTCTCGCCACTCGGTGATCGCGGCTGCGGAATCAGTATCTCTCGGTTTTCAATTTGATTTTCATGAAGCCAAATTGAAATTGATAATGAAGGTACTAACGAAGTGCGAGCACGTTTCGCCTGTCAACGCAGGCCTCGTGCGCCATGATAATCGGCCACTCCTCCCGCGTCGATCGGCGGGAAAGAGGCTCGTCGCTCGAGCTTGGAGAGGCGGAATTATGGCATTTTGAACCAGAACGCTACACATTTGACATCCAATAGCCTTCTCCTGTGACTTTGCTCATGGTTTATCAATGTGAATATGTAATATAAACAGCAGTGACTTTTCGAGGCCGAATTTTAACTCGTGTATTTTGCCGATATTTGTATGCGCAAGAATGAAACGTGTGCACGAGTATGAAAAATCAATGCACGAAGCAGATTTTTCTCGGATAATGTTATTGTCAATGATTCTGATTATATGGACCATCGAATAAAAGAATACCTCTGATTTCAAATCATGCTGCAGAGAAATTTATTCAGGGCAACGATATGGCTTCATCTTTCCAGACGTTCTGTTTTGGATAATTGCAATTAATAATGGATTCAGACGAAAGCAAGCATTAAGATTTAAAGGAAAATGACATGAACGAAATGATACACTGTATCTCCAAAACCAGTATGTTAATAACATAATTCTTAGTCATCTTTTTATAGCCAATCTCGAAAAAAAAAAATTCTGATAGCTACATGTATCTTCATGAAAGATCTGAAATAGATCATGAAAAATTAGATGGAGAAGAAAAAGAAGGAGGAAGAGGGGAAGAGAAGCTAGAAAGATGAAGAAAAAGGAGAAAAAGGAGCAAAAGGGTAAAACTGATAAAAAATAACAGAAAAAAAAAGATGGAGAAGAAAAAGAAGGAACAAAAATAAGGAAGAAAAAAATTGGGTTGCAGATCTTGAAACAGCTCTGATAACATCCGCCCCGCTTCATGCATTCTTTTTAGTGACACTCCCAACTAGTCTTTATTTTATATCTATGCCCAATTCCTGAGCTACCCCTAATGGATTCTGAGGTTAGTTCAAGAGGTACCAGCTGCACCCACCTATTACCCCTCCGAGAGCCGACCATAACTCCAGCGGGACCCCTCGTCAAACGTCAACGTACCTTCAGCTGCCTAAACTGTGTTGAAACAGTTCTTCCTCGTGCACTGTCTACTTGCCTAGATCCTGGACTGTCTTTCCCCCTCTCTCTCCCTCTCTCTCTCTCTCTCTCTCTCTCTCTCTCTCTCTCTCTCTCTCACTCTCTCTCTCTCTCTCATTCTCTCTCTCTGTCCTTTCCTCTCTCTGTCTTTCTCTTTCAC